CCATTGACTTTGATAAATAAAATTCTATATTGACACAGTCCTATATAAAATAGAATTATTCTGATTATTCGCACGAAACCACTGTGAAAATACGCTATTATTGGACATTTTAAAACCTAATTGACAGAAAAAATCAAAAGATTAATAGATAAAATCACTGGATGGCAAATAATAGTCTAATTTATCTTGTTCTGTAACCGAACAATAGATTTTTCTTCCGTTTTTTTGGACTCGGACCAAAAAATCTTAATCTTTCCGTTTTATGAACCGAAATTTCAGTTAAAACCGTAGATAAACGTCAATTGCGATTGATTTTTATGTATATATTTTTTTAATTTTTTTATACAATAAATCTACGAATTCCAAGAAACGGTTTATGTAAGATGTGCATCCAGAATCCAGATCCAGGTGATAAATAAGTTTTGAAGTGTGCATTATGTTATGAACATGTTTTGTATGTCGAAAATACGCTACTCACAGCACGAAAAAAAATGCTGTCTACCGTTTGGCAAGTGTTATCGACATTTTTCGAATTGCTGTGTCTATTTTCGGCTGTGTACATTAAAAGTCCCATTGTTTCGCCGAAATAACGCATTCACTACATCAAATTTAACAATACTACCCCATTACTCATCTTAAATGTTATTTTCCTATTTTTATACCATGAAATGCACATAATAAGTGTCTCTGAAATCTCAGACAGTCAGTTCTTTTGAATGCCTAACAAAAATCAACAGCTTCATGTCCTATTGAATAGTATTGTTAGCTTTGAATAAAAAGAGTCAGGAAGGAGTATAATGGTATCTCTCTATTCATACGTTAGAGATAGAGTCGACATCATAAACTTCCATTTTTGAGAGTTTTTCGGTTTAATGTTTCAATTCTAGGGCTTTTCTGGGCTTATTTTATGTTATTTATTATTTATTCTAAAATTGGTTTTGTTTATCTAGAAGAAGTAGTATATCTAGAAGAATATTTTGTGTTACTTTGAACAGACAGCAGACTGACTGATTTTGCTGTCTACTTTACTATTATTGTTGGCTGTTTCTTTTGCTGTTTTTTGCTATCTGCGTTACTGTGTATATGCTGTCAGCTTTTATACCTCTACTATCGTGTACCAGCTTTGGTACCAGCGACTTCGTTCGCGTCGAATTAATCATTTGTAATGGTGATGAGAAAGCAAAGTAAGAATTTCCATTAACATACAAACTGGATAAAATGTTCTCACATTTATGTCAGCATGAGAAAAAACAATATGGCGATATTATTATATAATTTGGTAATATTTGAGGGGTAGTTTCATCTCGTTAGAATTTGATTTTCGAAAAATCCGTTTGCCAAAAATAAGCTTTATACGTCAAGCAGTTTAAGCAGAATCGTGGTTAAGAAATTACCTAACTTTTTGGAACACCCTGTATGATTTTTTAAAAAAATTTCAAAATATGCAAAAAAACAAATAAATTATGCTTGTCCAAGCGTTTTCCCGAAAGACTAACCGTTTTTTAAATAAAAAATATTGTAATATTTGAGGGGCGTTTTCGCCCTCTTGGAATTTGAGATTCACGAAACCCCTCCTTATCGAACCTCTACACCCCACAGTCAATCCGTTTGCCAAAAATCAGTTTTAAACGTCAATCAGTTTAAGCAGAATCGTGATTACTCAATGGTCATATTTTATGAAACACCCTGTATAAGTTTATAAAAAATCTTAAAATATGTAAAACAACAAAATAAGATATACGTGTTTAAGAGTTTTTCCGAAAAACTCACCGGTTTTTAAATAAAAATATTTTAATATTTGAGGGAAAGTTTCACCCCTTTAGAATTCGAGTTTCGAAAAATCCTTCTTATCGAACCTCTACACCCTAAAGTCAATCTGTTTTCCAAAAATCAGCTTTTTACGTCAAGCGCTTTAAGCAGGATCGTGATTAATCAATGACCAGATTTTTCGAAACACCCTGTATACATTTTTAAAAAATCTTAAAATATGTAAAAAAACAAAATAAAATATACGTGTTTAAGCGCTTTTTCGGAAACTTGACCGTTTTTGAAATACATATTGTAATATTTGAGGGGTGATTTCACCCTCTTGGAACTGGAATTTCGAAAAATCCCTTCTTATCGAACCTCTACACCCTAGAATCAACCTGTATGCCAAAATTGAGCTTCTTACGTTGAGTGGTTTGAGCAGGATCGTGATGAATCAGTGAGTCAGTCAGTTAAGGATATATTAGTATAGATAATTAATTTATCTTTCTTTAATAAAATATTTTGATCAAAAGAAAATAATATGTAAAAGCTGTACCGGTCAAGCTTAAGAACGTGACTAAAAGTTCATTTGGTATGATCTATAGATGTATCACTTTCAAACACTTTTTGATAAAGCCTTTAACCATTGACTTTGATAAATAAAATTCTATATTGACACAGTCCTATATAAAATAGAATTATTCTGATTATTCGCACGAAACCACTGTGAAAATACGCTATTATTGGACATTTTTAAAACCTAATTGACAGAAAAAATCAAAAAGATTAATAGATAAAATCACTGGATGGCAAATAATAGTCTAATTTATCTTGTTCTGTAACCGAACAATAGATTTTTCTTCCGTTTTTTTGGACTCGGACCAAAAAATCTTAATCTTTCCGTTTTATGAACCGAAATTTCAGTTAAAACCGTAGATAAACGTCAATTGCGATTGATTTTTATGTATATATCGGTCAGAGGAAACCAATAAATGTTAAATTTACGATATAGACGCTGAATCTATTAAATAGATTTACCTACAATGGTTTGTTATAAAGTTAACAACGATTGGTTTCATTTCTTATCAGGTTCTGAAAAAACAGAACAGAAATTTAATATACAAGGTGGTCCGTATTGTATTTTGACTTCGGCAGCATATTCTGCACATAAAAGTATGTAAAAAAAATGCTGCGATTGAGAGATACAGAGGATGTAGAAGTTTCAGTTTTATTTCTATTTTTTTTCCAAATAATTTCTGAACTAAAATCGATATTTGGATGAAAATTGGTGTCTGTGAGTTTTTTGACATGAGAAATTTGACTTCGATGTCAATATGACTCCTATTCGTAGGGGGCGCCACCTACATGTTTTTTAACTGTTTTGAAGAGTAATAATTAAATTACTGAGTAAAAAAATAAACATTTTTATCGTTTTTTACGTAAAAAAGGTCTCTAGGTAAAAATCGCTACTAGCAACCATTCTCAAGATATTTGGAATGGAAATTATCAATACATGTCATCACTGACAAAAAATAAACATGATGACTAGATAGTTATTTGACTGAAATTACAAAAATTGGTTTAAAGGATCATAAAATTTTATAAATTTTGTTTTATTAATATTTTTTAATAGTGAAGTAAAAAAAATTGTATATTGATTTCTTTCAGTTTATACGAGGGGGTATTACTCTCAAACCGATTTGACAGATGTCAGAACGATACAGCCGAAATCAGAGCAGGTAAAAAGGTAAAAAAACTGATGTCGTGAAGGTTTTCTGTGTGTGTTTTTCGATTATTTGGATGTTTTGCATTTATTAACAAACCGCTATATAGCTATTGATTCAAATCTACCCTTAATATTAGTTTAACCTTTTATTATTTTAAACATTTTTTCTTATTTTGTTTGTTTGTTGATATTAATAAATAATATCCCTTTAGGTTTGTTTGGTAGGTATGTACTAGAACTAGAAGACATCTAACAAACATTAAACGCCCTGGTATCTCTTAAATATAAGTAAAAGAAAAACTTTTACAGTGTATGATAATTTTCGCGTTAAGGTTAGGCTGTTCTTATGAGCTGATTCTTTTCACAATTAACCGTGATTTTTGTCTTTTCACTGTTACTTTTAAACTTCGGTTGCGATTTCATTATAGTGTTTCATTTTTTGAATTATCCTATTATCTATATTCTTCTATGAGCTACACATTTTTAAATAAAGTACTGATATTTTTATAATCTTGAATTTCTTGAAAATTGAGCTCTAAATACTCACCGTTATATTGAGTATGTCCTCCAAGAAGTTGTTCCATTTGCTCCTTTTATTGGAAATCAGTTTATACTGATGCATGATAATGCCAGGCCCCCACGTTGCGAGGGGTAACGAGTTAGGAGTACGAGCAGTTAACGAGTACTTGGATGAGGTTGTACTACGAAGATTGGAAAGGCCTCCTTGTAGTCCCGACCTCAATCCAATCGAACTTTTGAATCGATGAACTTAAAAGAGCTGTTCGTCGTCGTCCTATTCCACCACAAACTTTACAAGAACTATGGCTAGCATTATCGAAGATTCCTCCGTTAATGCTAGCCTTAGCTTTTGTCTTTTGTAAAGGGGTTCCTTGATCTTTAGCAAGATTAATCTGTAGATCAAGAAAGAATAACTACCCTTATTCATATGACGAAGACCTCGAGCTGTTATTGCTGCGAGAGGTGGACATACACACTATTAAAATTATTCTTTTTGTCAATAAAAGCATCTCTGAAATCAATATTTACTTAAAAATGTGTAGCTCATAAAAGAATAGAGATAATGGAATAATTCAAAAAATAAAATATTAGGAATACATCTAAGATTACAGGAAAATGTTTTTTATCCAAAATGCCCGTCTCATTTTTTCCACAGGGTGTTTTGAATTTGTTGCTAAAATCAACGTTTTGATTTATCCCGGTATAAACCCACCTAACCGAAGAATATAAGCCATTAACAATTAACATGATAAAAAATAATGCCAAATAAAAAGTTATGAAACATCGAACTTAGCCAAATGTTCAGAATGGTGGAATTTTGTGCTGGGGAGTATAATATATAAAAAAGTATATTCGCCACACTTTTTTAAAGCACCCTGTATATTCTATAATAATTTTAAAATGTGTATCTTAACCTTCCCTATAACTTTTTTAATGAAGATTTTTTTATAAACCTTGAAACAAATGAGATGATCATCTCTAATCCTTTTTTTTTCTTTTTATACAGCTAGCACATCGGCCAGAGACACATCCACTCCCACAGTGATCCTCCTCCCACACGGCAGAATGCTCGTAGTCGACAGAAACGTTTTCAACCACCTCCAAGTGGACCATTCAGGCTTGGACCTTCTGGAACTGAGCGCCAACATCATCAGGCATCACCAGCAAGTAACCGGAAGCACTCCCAGCATTCTGGGCAGTGATACCACCTCCAAGGGACTGTCACCAACGTCCCTAGACCATGGACCTCCACTCTACGAGGATATTTTCGGTGATTTACCTCCTTCGTACAGCGAGGTGAGTCTGGCGATGAAAAACCAGAAGAACGAGGGGTGTGTAGTGGTGGAAATGGGGGTGATTAGTGAACAGGGTGGTGGTGATAGGGGAAGGGAGGGTGATATGGACGGGGAGGAAGGGGAGAATAGAGTTTAGTATGACTGTGATCTTGATTCGGACAGGTTTTATATAAAAAAAAAACATTTTTTGACATTTTTCCTTTTTTTTTCTAGGAAATTGTATGTTTTAACGTGAATATACACTTTTTTACCACTCTAAATGCAAGTTTTATTAACCATTGAGTATAAATCAACGGTTAAGAAAAAAAATTATAAAAATATTACAAACTGCTTTTAAAAATGTTATTAAAATTTGATTCAAAAGTCTAAAAAGAAGTTTTTTGTTTTAAATACAAGTATTAGTTTATACAAAATGTGTATTAAATAAATTCAAGTATGTATTTTCAATAGTTGTAGATCTGGGCAAAAGAATACTTTTTTCTATTTACTGTTTCTAAAATACAGAGTGGTCCGAACTGTATTCCGGAGCATATTCTGCAGATAAAAATAAGTAAAAAAGTTCATATAAATATATGTCCTAAAATGCTTAGTTTCGGAGATACAGGGTGTAGAATTTTCATTTTTATTTCGATTTTTTCCAAATAATTTCCAAGCAATGTCAATATTTGGATAAAAATTGGTGTCTGGAAGTTTTTTGACATGAGAAATTTGATTTTGATGTCAATATGACTCCGTGTTTCTCAACTTATTCGACGTGCTGTGTTGCCACATGGACAAGCTTTGATACACAGCCAAGGAATTTTTGTACGATGAACCTGTGACACTAAAAAGTTTTTTTAAATACCCAAAAAGTGTCAATATAAATGTTGATCAAAAATTATTTGGTCTGAAGAATTAAGCCTTTTAGTGCAAGCTCAAGGAAATATTCTGAGAAAATTTCACATGAACATGCAGCTTTAAAATGTTTCAAAAATCTACAAAAACATTTAAAGAAAAACACACAAAATTTTTAGCATTTATTTTACCTGAAAAAATACATAAGCGTGCTTCTAGGGTCGAAATATTATTATTACCAGTTAAAACATTTTTGGACTTATTTAATAAACATCTAGTATACCTAAATGGCATTTTATTGATATTATAACTAGAAATTGTTTACTTGTAGTGTTAATATTTTTTAAAATATGCCTTTAGATTGATAAATAATGTATTTTGGTTTAAAATGTATAATTTTCTGTTGTAACTCCTATAAAGGTTCCAACCTACAGTGAATATGTTTATTATCTAGTCTATAATGATGTTGAAATATTGTTGTTGTTGTTGTTTTTTGTATGTTTTCAAGAATAATAAAATTTAGTATTCGATTGTTAAAATTGTTTTTTTTTATTTTATCATTCAGCAAGGGTATTTTGACAATTTCGATATTGATTTAAAAGCATTTTTTCACGCAAATATCATTATAATTGATAATATTATATGTCATTAAAAAAATTAATATATGAAACAATAACCTCAAGCTTTCCATAATTCATTTATATGTATATTCATTATTTTAAGTGTTACAAATTATTAAGTAGGTAAAAATAATGTGAGGTGTAGAAAATTCGGAAGTGTAGAACAAGTGTAGGTTTTTCTAAATAGGCAAGCTTCTCTCTGTCAGTCGTGAAAATGTATGTTCTTTTTATTTCAATTCCGGAAATGGATACTCTGGGTGGTCCTTTATTCTAAAATAACAGAAAATATAAATTAATTTTCAGAAAAAATGTTTTGTCTTACCCTTTGAATAGAGTGAAGTCCAACAAACGGACTCCTTGGTCCAAACCATCCATGGCTTCCATATCTGCTTTGTCCAATTCAAACCCAAATATATCTATGTTCTGCCTGAGCCTTTCGGGATTGGTCGATTTCGGTATGACGCACACGCCTCTCTGTACCGTGTGTTTCAAAAGTATCTGTGCGGGCGTTTTGCCGTATTTCTTAGCCAGTTCGTTGACGGTGGGGTTCTTCATGATGTTAGGGAGCTCCACTCTGTAGAAAAACAGTTGTTTTAAACATTTCGATCAGGATGCAGGAAAGGGGGGTAGCAAAGGATGCCCCCTTAATACAGAGGAAGAAAAAAAAATGGTATACAAAAAAATACTTACGTTTTTCCAAACTTAGTTAAGAAATTGCTGAGTCCAGGGTTACCCAATGGTGAGTAAGCTGTAACTACCATACTGTTCTTCTTGCAAAAATCTACCAACTCTTTCTGCTGATTGTAAGCATGCAGTTCTACTTGTAGAGAGCATGGTTTGATTCTAGAATTGTTCAAAATTCTTTGAATTTGAGATAGGTTAAAATTAGATACTCCTATGGCTTTGGTCAGTCCTTTGTCCACTTGTTCTTCCATTGCCTGAAAATAAACGACAGCAACCAGTTTTAGATAAAAAAAAATGTGTATGCACTATTTGCGTATATTTGAAGTGAACTTCTTACTAACAGCTATTCAATTATTGAAGGATTTGAAGGATATGTTTGAAAAAGTGTAGTTTGAAATGTTGAAAATGTAATAAATTAAAAATTAAAAAACAATTTGATTCGCTCTCATAAAATTTATATTAAAATGACCGTCTGTCCGTTTGAGGACACTATTCGGGTGCTCGATCCACGTGCCGAGTTTGGTTCCAATCGACCCATAATTAAGAAAAGTTAATAATCTTTCAAAAAAATACTATAGTACCTTCCAAATAGCAATATGATCAGTATTGACGTCCAAGTCAATGCTTCCATCTGGTTTGAAAGGGTGAAGCTCTCCTTCAACATCATTAAAGGCAAACGGTGTGTGAACAAGGTATAAATCAACGTAGTCCACTTGAAGCAAATCCAGAGATCTCTTGATATATTTCTTTACACCTTCTGGACGCATACCACCTGGTGGAAGCTTAGTAACCAAAAATAGTTCATCTCCTGAAAGATTAAACATATTATTGTTAAAGAGTGTGATTTACATTTGAACAGTAGATTAAAAAATATAAGTACCTATTATCTGGTTAAATGATATACTACCCGAGAAAAAAAAAGAGGATGGTCTACAAAAAGAAATGAGATCTCATGTAGCAACAATTCCTCTGAAAGATCAAAGAAATGTTACTGCTGATTGAACTAGATACATACAGGGTTGTTCACCACATACGACACGGAGTGTTGTAGCTATACGATGAGATTTTTACAAATTGTAAGTTTTGGGTTCGATGAAGGACTATTAGAGGTACAATTTAAAAATAATTTTACAAGATACAGAGTGTCCCAAATAAGTAAAAAATATCAAAGTTGTATTTTTTTAAATGGAACACCCTGTATATTATTACATTTTTAGTTTCTACGATTAAAATAAAGGTAAATTTGATTAAGGTTTATTATACTTAAACCTTACCGTTTTTGAAATATTTTCAATTTTGTGAAATTGCAGTAAAAATTTTAAGGCTTTATTTCTCCAAGGGTATCAAAGTTTTTAATACTAAATATTTACTGAAGTTTATTTACTGATCAGTTATTGTGTTGCAATAATAAAAATAATACTACCTTATACAGAGTGTCTAAAAAATTATTTTAAATAATTATTAGCTTCAAACGGCAATAACTTGTTTAATTTAAATGGAACACCCTGTATATTTTACGAGAATCACATGCACAATTTAATTGTCTATCAAATTATATTATACCATTTTTTACCTATCTCTTTAAGTTTCCGTAGAAAATGCATTTTCTTGTAATTTAGAACTTATTTATCAATATACCCATGGACTATTGACATTTTAGATTATTTTTAAAGATGTACAAATTTTTAAAGAGTACAAATATTAATATTGTCGATATAATTCGTTTATTTCATTAAAAAATAAAAAAAAACTGTTTAAATATTTGTTAAAGAGGATCAGTTAATATGATTCCAGTATTCAAACAACATTAACTGACTGTTTGCTTTGATTAATAATAATTGCTCCAAATACTAAAAAACTGAATTTTGTATGGGCATTAGACAGTGTGATAAAAAGTAACACCTTAAAAATGATATTTCATTTTTTAATAAATGCTTATTTATAACTACAGAGACTTTAATTTGATAACTTATTATTATATTGATTTCTGACTCAAATCCACATTTATTTATAATAATTTAATAACGAACACAATTAAGTATGTAATTAATTAGTATATGGGCGCAAATAATGGTGTTATATTTAATTAATGGTATACTCTTTTATAAAGATTTAAATAGTTTTCTTTTTGCATACAAATGGGCTAGTAATATTATCGTTTTGCTAAAAACGATAATATTACTAGTCTGTACATTTTGTACATTTGTTGCTTTAAAAACAATCTAAAATGTCAATATTCCATTGATATATTGATAAATGAGGTCTAAATTATAAGAAAATGCATTTTATACGAAAACTTGAAGGGATAGGTAAAAAATGGTATAATACAATTTGATAGACAATTTAATTGTGCATCTGATTCTCCTAAAATATACAGGGCATTCCATTTAAATTAAAGAAGTTATTGCCGTTTGAAGCTAATAATTATTTAAAATAAATTTTTAGACACTCTGTATAAGGTAGTATTATTTTTATTATTGCAACAAATAAACTTCATTAAATATTTAGTATTAAATTTTAATTTAAATTTCGCGCTGCGGATTCAAGTGGTTGGACCATCCTCCTTACAGTCCCGATCTAAGTCCTCACGAGTTTTTTCCCTTTTCCAAAAATTTAGAATGAACTGCGTGGTCAAACATGACATGAACTTGATTTTACATGAGATCTCACAACTTTTTGTAGGCCTTTAGTGAGACACACGGTATTTTTTTTTTTTTTCTGGTACTTACTTTTGAGTTTTCCCGAATTTATCCAGCGTTTCAAAACAGTTCCTATAACTTTTTCATTTTCGTATACGTGGGCTGTATCGATATGCCTGTATCCAGCTTGTAGGGCTGATTCTACAGCCGCTTCAAGTTCTTGGTCTGTAGCCTGATGAAAAAACATAAGTATAACTTTAAAAGGAAAGAATAAAAAAAGGCCAAAAGGACATATGAAATCTCTTCAGAAAAAAAGACTCATCAATGTTATTTATTCTAAAATTGGTATATGATATATAGAAGGATATTTTGTCAGAATGTTAAGATTTCATTAAGTTTGTGTAAACAGTGTATTTCTCATAGTTTCTTATGTCGAACAGTGTATTAAGTAATTCAATATTTTAAATGAATAATACACTTAATTATTATGGTTAATATCATGTCTATAGAATGCATAATAACCTTGAGGTTGGTATTAAACAACAACTAAGTTTTCAATAGCCAGGAAATTGTAGAAAACTACTTTTTGCAATGTTTTTATATTAAATAATAGCAAGCATAAACAAAAAAAGTATGTTAAATTTATTTTTTAACCTGACAATAATTAGAAAATCCTTAATTGATTTTACTGTCAATATATAGATTATAAATACCGTATAATCGAAAAAAAACACCGTCAAAGAATGCTGCAAATTATTTTTTCTCGAATTTTAAACTACACGCCATTTAAAAAACATTTTTTCTCAATCTACATAATATATAAAATGCTAATGTTTATCTGTGTCGTCTCTACTGAAGTAACGACTTGCTCTAGAAAGTTGCTTTTTTACTAAATGATAGCTAATTGGCTACTGTCGTTTTTTATTTAATTAAAAAAATAAAATAAAAAGTATTTTTTTTCCTGATGTCGTGGCGGATGCGCCAGGCTCCAGGCTTCAACTAGTATAAAAATGAATATCAACCTCTTGAGAAAATTGAGAAGAGTACGAGCCAAGTAATGAAGTCTAGGACTTGACCTCACAAAAATGATGTCATTTCCCAGCCATCTTTGACGCCGTTTTTTTTTCGATAGTATGGTATTACAACTATATATTTCTCAGTTTCATCTCGATAATTTGTGGTACTTTTTGTGACATCATATCTTTTAATTTTTAATCCCCTTAAGAGATTTTTCAAAAAATTCGCTAACGAGTAGCTACACTAACTGACTACACAGTGCCGTAGTTAATTATTCATTTTTCTGTTTACTTTAATTTAATATACAGGATAAAATAAAAAGTGATATATTTTAACTAAAATTTAAACTGCGACAGCCAATTACACACTATATAATAATTATTATAGTTATAATATTGATTCTTACATGGTAATATAAAAAAATAGGTGTTAAAAGTTTAAAATTTTTATTTTTAAGACATTTAAATCTTTTTTGAATTAAAAAAGTGTTAGTTCTCACCTGCCATGTACCGTACCCCAAGATGGGCATAGGCAAACTTCCCCTGCTAGTCTTTAAGTCGATGTTTGGTACTACCACACTCATTTTTACACTGTATTTTCTCAAATTTTCGAAAAAAAATCCTAAAACAAGCGCTGAGAAGGGACTTCTAGACGCAAACCGCATAATAACAATATTATTACGAGAAAATGTACCATATAACGGTTCTATCAGTACCGGTTGTGATGATGAAAGTATATTTAGTACCGAGAGCCAGCATTGTTGTCGATGTTAACAAAAAAACAAAAGATTTAACGAAAGAGAACTTTTTTTTATTTTTTACTCAGAAATCAAAAGTTGGAATACTCATGACTTTTATGACTTACAAAAAAATTAACCATATTTTCCTGTTTTTTTTAAATTTTCATTAAAACTGTATGGAAATTTGGAAAAGTATAAACCGGATTAACTTTTTTTGTACAAGCAATTTTTTCCCCTCTTGTAAAGACAATCTGGGGACATACTGTATATACAGGGTGTCCCACTAAGAATAGCTCTCGGCTGTATCTCAGAAAGTATTAGACGTAGGGTTTACGAAAAAAATATTTATAACTAAAGGGGCTATGAGAAATTGCTGGAAATTATTTTCAAGTTTGTAGAACGACCGTTAGGGGGCGCAACTGCAACAAACAATATGAAAATGGAGTTTTTACACAATTTTGCCTAGATAAGGTGTACTATAAGTAATAGCTTCATAATCCTCAGTAAATTTTGAATATTTTTTGTTAGAGCCATTTTCCCCTATCTACCAAAATAAAGTGGTGGGGGAAGGTTAGATCTGTTTATATTTAAATATTAATAATTCTGGACTGGATGATCGGAATCTAACAAGCGAGGGCTCTTTTAAAAGAGCGTTTCTTACTATATATTGTATCATATAAACAATAATAATAAGCTTGTGAACGTAGACACTAGGGGGCGTTGTCAAACAATTTAACAAACGTTGTGAAACGCTGCGTTTTTTCAAAAAAATTAAATGCAATAGTATATGTAATTTTAGCTGACAGTAAAGAGTAGTAAAGGCTTATAAAGTCAGCGAAAACCGCATCTTGATATCTTCTTTCAAACCGAAGATATTAGCAAAAATATAATAAATACCAAAAAATAAGCCCTTAATTACCTTATTTTTACAACACGGTATCAGTAGCACTCTTAATTATACCCATTCTAACAAAAAAATAAGATAGAAACAGTTAGTTTATTTTAAAATCGACGAAATACCAGACTACCATAATACCACAGGTATTAATATCTAATAATTAAGATATTAATAACAGTGAACAAGAAACGATGATTCAGTGAAGTCATGGTAGGCTTTGGAAAAAAGTTGCTTTTGACGTAATAGTATAAACGTCAAATTGTTATTAGATCAACATTTTGATAGTCTTATCAGCGTTTTTTATCTTTTAATTGCTTTTTGAAAATGCTTTTATTATTTGTAATAGTTGAAGTTGTTGGCATTTTATAGCTTAGAATTGAAGGAAGAACCAAAATATACAATAATATACAGGGGGTTCCGTTTAAAAAAAAACAAACTTTGATGTGCCACGACTTTATGACCGACCCTGTATACTTAAATTTATTACCCGCTAATAGATATTTATAAACCCTATAACTTTTATATTTAACTTTTCGCGGTACCTCCTATATTTTACCTAATAATCGACCGTTTCCATACATAACAGCGACCCTGTATAAAAGAAAAACTGTTAAAATACTCACATTCCAAGTACCATATCCTACAGCAGGCATTTCTAAATTTTCCCCTAAAGAAAAGTACTCCATCTTGATATCTGTCATGATTTTCTATATTTTTTATCACTATCACAAAGAAAAAACAACTTTTTCTGGTCCCAGTATATTTCTAGCTGTGCTTGTATTAAGTTCAACCCCTATTTTCAAACTGAAATAGGTTTTCATGGTAAGAATTTATCAAAAATTGAGGTAAAATAAGCCTGTTATAGATTAATTTTTTATTGTTAGCATACTACAAAAACGTTGAATAATGGTAGATTAATGAAGTGTGGAAATTACTTATTGATTTGATTTAAGAATAGTTTTAGCAATATTTTATTTATTAACTTAAATTTACGTTGTACGGTTAAGTATTGGAATAAAAATATGATTTTAAGCTTGTAAAAAATTTATACAGCAACCCTGTTACAGGGTTGCTGTATATCCCCAACACGGTACATCCCCAACAACGGTATATCCCCAACACTATTTAAAATTTATATTGCCAAGGCCTTACATCTATGGAAAAGAAAATATAACGGAACGGGTATAGAACTAAATGACATATGTCTATACACCTTGCAATTTGCAGACGACCAGGCCATAATTGCAAACGACAAAGATGACATGGAATATATGGTGCGGAAAATAATTGAAGAATATGCTAAATGGGGTCTCACAGTAAATACAGAAAAAACAAAATACCCTCCAATTGGAGCTAATACAGAAAATCTTATTTTAGACAATAATATGGAAATTAGGGCATGTGAAGATTACAGGTACCTGGGATCGATATTTACAGGAGATGGAAATGACGATAGAGAAATAAACAACAGAGTAATACAGGCACGAAGAGTTATCAGATGCATAAATGGCATTCTATGTAGCACTGAAATTACAAAAAACAGGAAATATAATATATACGAGACACTAGTTAAAAGCATATTACTCTATGGATGTGAAACATGGCGACTCACTGAAAGGAATAAAAGGAAATTAGAGACAACAGAAATGGACGCGATTAGAAGAGCAATGAGAATTACACGGAGGGATAAGATCAGAAATGAAGACATTAGACAACAGATGGGAATAGAGGGAACAATAGTAAATGATATAGAACAAAAACAATTAATATGGTACGGCCACGTTCAGAGAATGCACAATGAAAGAATTCCAAAACAACTCATTCATTGGATACCACCTGGTAAACGAAAGAGAGGACGTCCAAGAAAACATGGATGGAAGGAATAAGAAGGTCGATGAGCGAGAAAAATCTGACCGAAGATCAATGGGAGAATCGCACAGGGTGGAAGTTAGGCATCGGACAACGTCGTAGGACGTTCTGACCCGAATTTATTATTATTAAAAAAGTTTATTCTTAATTATCATACAACATACTAAATACTCCGAACCAATGGGCACCTACCCCAGCAACCTGTAGGCAGAACTTCAGCATCCTTTATAATCCAATAAAATTGTAATTTGAAAAAAAAAATCAATTGAGTTTGTCAGCGACTGTCTTCTCAGTGTAAAATAAACAAAATCGGAAACTTTCCCCTTGCGGTTTTTTAACAATAGGGGTGGTTTTTTTTTAAACTGTACTACAACAAAATAATTAGACGCATATTGTACATAAGAACATTCTCTATAAGTTCGCCTAATGATTTTTTTCATAAGTTTATTATTTCCGGACTTAGCGGCCGTTTCATGAGCCCTTTGGGGTGGTTTTCAAAAAGTTTGTTTGATAACAAATTGACCCGTATGAAACTTGTTCATAATAAATGGACAACCAACTTTTCCTCATGATTTTTTTCTGTAGCTTTATTATTTTTGGAGATAGCTTCCAGTTCATGAACAAATTGGGGTAGTTTCATAATTTTTGTTTAGTTCTACAAATTTACCAACTTAAAGGTGTTCATATTAAAATTACATGTAAACTTCCCTATTAAATTACATGCAAATTTTCCAGTAGCACTTGTGAATTTCCTGAAAAAAAAACATTTAAAGCTACCACCACTTGTTCATGATGTGAGCGCTATCTCCAAAAATAGTCAAGTTACAAAAAAGTTCATAAGGTAAAGGTATATGTACTCTTATTTTGAACGAGTTTCCTAGGGTGAATTTGCTGAAAAAAGAGTAACATTGAAAACTACCTTAATTTGTTCATGAACTGGACGCTATCTCCAAAAATAATCAAGCTTATCAATTAGCTTCTTCATTTGTGTAAAAGTATCTAACCAGTTTACATAAAACGTTAAATGCCGAACGCTTATTTTGCTACTTTATTGGACTAGTGAAATGGACTCTTTTGCTTCTGGGGTACAGACATTTAAAATAAAGCAGTGTATAAGGAATCGATCCAAAATTACCCGCAATACGTCTAAGTTTATCCATTATTCATACCTTCCTTATTACACAGACCCAACTATGCTAAAATTCACTTTTATTATTGTGGTGTCCTTGCTCTTTCTTGTGTATCTAGGCGAAGGTCACAAAAATATAAATTTCCCGTACAAAAAACTTTTTTTTGAATATTCATGATACTTTCACTGTTTTACATATTATTACACAAAAGAAATTTTGGTATTTCCTAGCATTTCCTTTTAAACCAGTATAACAGAAAATTCTTTTATGTAAAAGGAACTCCTCAGGGTGTTTCAAAAATTTAATTTTCGTATAGGTCCGATTTTGCTTTGTTTCGTAGCTACAGGGTGTTAAAGTCATAATATTTTTTCGATTTATTATAATGTTCTTCCGAGTACTTTCAGCGTTTTGAATGAAATTTTGAGGGTAAAAGTTACTATTATAAATACGGCATATTAAGCTAAAAAGTGTCGAAATACACACACCGGAAAATTATTATTTGCATTTCTGATATAATAAAATTAAAATAAACAAATAGTTTACAGGACGTATTGGAAATAAAAATGCGAAATTTACCGAATTTTTCAAATTTACCTTGATTTTTATTGAACTCAAAAAAATACACACATTTTTTTTAATTCTAAACTGTGAATTAAAAAAAAAGATAAAACCATTTTTACTTAATAAAGGGTATGGCCTCCTCTACTGTTCATTACAGCCCTACATCGATCGTCTCTCCATGCTCCTGATCGGGTTGTCGATCTCTTCTTGAGGTACAGCCTGCCACGCTGCATTCACGGCCCGAACCAGATCCCTACGAGTTTCACGACGCATACCCATTCTCAAAATTCTTCTTTGGACCGCGTCCCATACGTGCTCGATGGGGTTGAGGTCAGGAAATTGTGCCGGCCAGGGTAAGATGTTTAATTGATGAGCATTGATAAACTCACTTACCACTCTGGCTGTATGAGGCCGTGCATTGTCATGCATGAGAATGAAGTTTCTCCCAAAATCATTGGCATAAGGTAACACGACAGGCTCAAGAATTAAATCACGATATGTGATTCCTGTTAGAAAC